AGATTTCTAGAGATTTTAAGGGTTAAAATCTGCTTTTTCCCCCTTGGTTTAAACGCGTTGAACTTACAATAGGACGCGTTGAAACGCAAAAATAGCGTTTTTTTCTAAAAGTTTGCGTTGAAACGCATTTTTATAGCAAATTTTTTTTCATGGGGATGGTTGGATCTGATTCAGTCGAGGGCCAAGAATTTCGTGACAACGAGTGTTACTTGTTTCTTCTAGTGTCCATTTATAGAACTCGGTCAAGTATGAGAATTTTTCGATCAGATAAGAAACAAAATTTTTTGAGTGTACGACTCAATTTCATAGATTCAACTGAGTTTGCTGTGAGACCTTTTCTACAGAAGAAAACTAGGACTATCATTTATACAAACGAAAATTCAAATCTACAACTACCAACTAACAGTGCTGAACTTACAGAGAAACGATATCATCTCGTTTATATTCATGTTAGATGACCAAGCGAAAACATAAGAATAACTTCAATCCATGCTCAAGTTTTACATATGTACTCGATGATCCTACATACAAGAAATAATTGGCACATTGTGAAAAAAGCTTTTACAATAATAAACCCACACTATCTGTTTATTACCGTTAGATAAGCCATTTTATGTTGATAACCGTTATCTACCCTTTCATAAAGCCCTTTTCATAAATCTTGGCAAAAGTTTGTGACCTATTGCCACTTCATATATCCTTGTACTGTTTTCATTTCTCAAAAACCCTTTATAGATATATAGACGGAATGAACCCTCAGACTAAAACTTTATTATACTCCGATTCTGTTAAAAACGTGCAATGATACACCCTTCATCGATGGATTTGATTTTTTCTATATACCCAAAAAGGTCTTATAAACACAGAAAACAGTTATTATTTAAGGCGCACAGAGAAGTCATCTTCAACAAATTCAAAAATCTTGTTCCTCTATCTTTGTATACAGTACCAGAATACACTAGTAATTCATATAATAAAAACAACAGTGCAGTAGCTGTTTTCAGCTGCCCAAAATGCTCATACACTCAATAACTAAATCGAAAAGAAAATATTTAAAACATCTATCCTATTTAGACCTCTTGATTAACATGGCTGCTGCTTCTCTACCAATCGATTATTTTCATACAAATGCTGACGATGAACATCATGAAATTTTCGGTGTTATTTGGCTCGATGATAGTACGAACGCTAAAGAGGTTCGAGATACCGAACAAAAATTGCGTTCTATTATCAACCATTTTGAGAGGTTTCAAGATATAGAACAATGCCAAAAATATATCAAAGAACGATCTAAAAAAGATCGACTAATAATCATTGTTAGTGGTCGATTGGGACGAGAAATAGTCCCTTCTATTCACAGGTTTCGACAAGTTATATCAATCTACGTGTATTGTCTCGATAAAGAAGGTAATGAAAAGTGGGCTTGCAAATTTGCAAAAGTAAAATTATTCCGAATGATTTCGATATCATTTTATAATTTATTTTGTTGATAGATAAAAGCTGTTGTTGTTGAACTCGATGAACTCATCTCTCGAATTAAAGCTGATCATAAAATCCAGAAAATGGTCGAAGAACCGTTGTCAATTAATATTTTTACTACAAATACGGGTGCAGGTAAATCACTGACAGGTTTAAATGGTCAGTTTGTTTTTTCTCAAGTTCTGATTGATTGTCTTCTCCGACTGAAATACAGTGAAGTAGATAAAAAAGAACTTATTCACCTCTGCAGACAGCAATATCAAGGCAATAGTGTCGAGTTAAGCAATATTCGCGAATTTGAAAAGGATTATTCAGCTAACAAAGTTTTATGGTGGTATACACGAGAATCATTCTTTTACAAGTCTCTTAATGCAGCTCTACGTACACAAAATATTCATATAATATTTTTGTTTCGTGCATATATATCCGATATTCATCGTCAATTGAAAAATCTTCAAGCTCAAAATCGTCTAAGAGTTTATCGAAGCCAAATGATATCAAGTGACGAACTGAAAACATTAAAAGAATGCTGTGGTCAGTTTATTTCCGTCAATTCATTTTTCTCCACCAGTGTTGATTATCGACAGGCTATTTCATTCATCAATATTTTTGATGATACAGACAATTTAGAACCAATATTGTTTGAAATCGAAGCTGATCCTCTAATGGTGGCTACAAAACCATTTGCTAATATCAGTATATGTAGCGACTTGAATGAAGAATCCGAGGTACTGTTTATGCTCGGTTCTATTTTCCGTTTGAACACTATCCAACGTAGCAGCGATAGTAAAGTATGGATCATCCGAATGACTTTGTGCAGTGAGAATGAACATGATTTAAAACAAGTTCTCATGAATATGAAAGAGCAACTTGGTAGTGGAGAAACAGATCTTCAAACATTAGGAAAGGTATTATGGGAAATGGGAAAATTTGATCTAGCTGAAAAATACTTTATTCGCTTGTTAGAACAACTCCCATCAAATGATCCTTCACGTGGTAGTATATATGAAGATCTTGGCAAACTCTCATCACAGACCGGTGACTATGACAAGAGCGTTCAGTGGCATCAAAAATCACTCGCACTGAAAAACCAAAATAAATTAACTATCATTTCTAGTATTGATGAAGCAAGCAACTCTATTGGTAAGTTCATAGAAACAAAACGTATTCATACTGAAATAAGAATCCTACATTAACATTAATAGTTTATAAAAGCAAAAATTGTAAAAATGTCACAGGACTAGCTTGTCAAAAACATAATCAATCGCGACAAGAAATCCCAGTTTTTGCTTATCAAGCAGCCATTTTAGAAAGCCAAAGTAGTTTACGGCTAGAATCGAACTGATGGAACAAATACCAACCACTATCGACTCTATCTATAAGGGTGGGTGTGGGTGCGGGTATTCATCTCTCTCACACCCACACCCACACTCATCTAGTAACACAGTCAGCATACTATCGACTGGATGATTGTACACAAAATGTCATAGACGATTTACTCAAGTTCATCGTATGTTTTCAGTCATTGAGACTCAAGCATACTATTCACGAAGTGTGCGCCGAGCAATCTAACTATTCTGCTATAGCAGTTGCAATTCAGCAAGCTTCTGTTTAATTTTATAAAAACAGTTTCCGTATTTTTAGCTGTGCAAATCGAATATGCAATCAGATCAAGTTGAAAATCACAAGAGAACAACATTCATTGTATGTTCTGCTTTACCGGAGAAAGAAACTTCTATAAAAAAAATTCTTCTTTTGTTCTGTCTCCACCGCTCTCAGGGGTGAACTGTTAACAAATAGCGAAAAGTTCTTACGTATCTTTTGTATTGGTATCTTCAAAAACATACACATTAATCGATCATAACCACATTAAGGGTAACCTTTCATACTGCAGAATTTTCGGCGGAAAACATTCTGAGCGCTTCTGAAAAATCAATAGATTGTGAAAACTTGCATGTTATTTTTCAAGGAAAAAAAACTACGAGCTACATTTGTTGTCCAAAGCAAAAACAATTTCTATTTTCATGAAACAAAGACTTCTCTAAAGTATAGCAGTGCTTTATCCTTGGTGAAAGATGCTAATGTATCGTTAGTGAAAATGAGCGCTTTTGAGACGATTTATCATGTTTGATAGTTTCTTTTGTAGTTCTCAGAACAATTCGTGTGTAGAAACTTAATGTCTTTATCATCAGAGCACTTCAATGTATTCTCTTTTTGAACTGTATTTTAGGCAGAAAACGACGCGAACGGCGTTTCGAAGGTGTCTCACCTGGTATTGAATGGGTAATAGCCGGGAATAATGCAGACTATTTGGCAAAGCATGTGCGAGAATTCTTCGAGCTATACGGTAAACCAGATGACTTTGAAAAGTTGGTATCTGACGCTCGACGCAATTACATTGAAAAGGAATTAAGTACGAAATCGGATATAGACACCATTACCTATTTGTTTCTAAAAGCTATAAAGAAAAAAAGTCCGAAATATCTTCTTCAAGCATACACTGCAGAGACCGAATTCTATCGACTATTAAATGTAAATCTGGCAGAAGCACAGCTGATCGAGACTGAGCCAGTCAAACTCGAAATCAATCAATACTGTGCTTGCATTGTTGGCATCATTGCTCATCATTCTCACTTGGATCGATTCAATTTTTATGGCAAATGTTATCGTGGCATGAGTATAAACAAGAGTGAACTTGACAAATATAAAAAAGGAACACGTATTCTAACGAAATCGTTTCTTTCCTATCTCAAGACCGCGACGTAGCCACCAGGTTTGCTGATAGCTCAGCTTCCAATAACACCATTAGTATCTTATGTATATACAATGTTCGAAATCGTAGAAGTGCACTTAATCTAGAAGAAATATCCGAGTTTCCCGACGAAAAAGAAATTCTTATCATGCCATATACGGCCTTTAAAATTATGGATGTTATCTACTCGGATCGAGACGATGACGGTATCAAAGCTAAGATAAAGTTAAAAGAAAGTGAACCCTGGTAATATCAACAGACTACACTAAAAACTTTGCTTCTCATATTGTGATGAGTGTATTTTCATATTTTGCTTAGTTAGATATAAAAGAGAACTTATGTTTGATGATTTCTCTTCAATTATCTTGAGGACCAGACATCAGATGGTAAGTTCTTGTTATCAGAAAATTCATCTAAAATTGCTATGAAAAAACTTCATGGAAATTCAATTCAGTACTTTGAGAAGTAAGCGCTAAAACTTGATTTTAATATAAAAAGACCATAGAAATCAAATGTAATTTTTTGTATTCGGTTACGTTGGATCAGGAAAAATCATCGTATTGCTGCTAACAATTCGCAAACGCTGCGTTGCATCAATTGAATATCATCATTGATGACTAGCGCTATATGACCGTTGTTTTAATCCCCACTTTGACTTCTTACATATGTTTAAAATACAACGCTAGCTAGTTCAAAATTATGTAAGCAAGAGTATGGGTGTGGATATTAGTTAGTCATTTTCATTTACATCCACACCCACACCCGCGAAATTAGTCGAAGAAAGTTTTTTCATACTTTATGAAGTTTGTTTAACTGTCTGTTTTTCTTCATTGTTATTCATATCTTTCATCTCATTGGCTGGCAAGTACCTTCACTCTTGCAATGAAAATTTCTTGTTTATATGAAGCTGAAGAATTAATTTGGTTGAATTTTAGGAAGTAGTTACAAGTGATTAAAGAATATTTCAATATGTAAATGAATTGACAATGTCACTTTCTATTTTACTCAAGATCTTAGAAAGAGATAATCAAAATTGATACTTTTTTTTCTATGATCTTGACATATGAGAATCTGTGAATACAAAGATTTTAGATACAGATGTATTTGATACAATTCAGAAATGTAAAAACAAATTATCTTTTAAACATCTTGATAAGATCTACCTTACTGATTCCAAAATTTCGAGATTTTGCTTACAAGATGTTTCACTAGGATGAGAAAAAGGAAAATTTTTGTTGACTTTCGATTTTTTTCCTCGTTTCGATATAATTGAATTAAAAACAGCAAGAAAAGTGACCTGCAACTCTCTTTTAAAAATTGATTTTCTACAATATGCCTGCGAGAATAGCTGACAATAAATAATGCATCGATCAAATAGTATCCTTCTCCAGAAACATGTTGGTAAACATTACTAGAGATCTCGAGCTAGTGAACTTCGGCATGCCTATTCGTCATTCAAATTCGAATTCGATCAGTTGAAAGGAAAAAACTTTTCAACGAACGATTTATTCAGCAATTCAAGATAAACACATTTTACCAATTAGTTTGAGTTCTCTTTTGAGAACAACTGGAATTTAGTCGATACACTGTGGGTGTGGGTGGGTGTGGGTGTGTGGGTGTGGGTGTGGCTGTGCGGGTGTGGGTGTGGGTGTGGGT